GGAAGCGGTTTCTTATGTTTCTGTGTGTTTGCCAGCTGAACTTCCTTCCCTGCCTAACACAAGAGCCCTTCTGGAAAAGAAAGTGAGCTGGCAACGTTACAGAGAGGCAGCCTCCCTGGCCCCATCCACCCCACGCAGGGAGATGAGTTCTTTCTTTTTTCATTTGATAATTTTTTTATATATTGCAGAGAGGGGGGGAAAACTTACTTTAACACACAGAGCTGATGACATTTCTCAACGAACGTTTGCAGGAAGGGCACGCCCTTGGCTTCTAGCTCGCACTGATGCAGCCTGTAGGTCCCAGACAAACAAATGCACACAAAGAAGCGCTGCTTAGGACAGATGTTGCCTGTACAGTCATGCACCAAGTCTAGGAACCCTCCTAGTGGATATTTCTAAGACGATACTTGATCATGTCAGCCCTCTCTCTTTGGTGGAAGGCTGGCAACATTTTAGCTGGCCTTTCTGTCCACACATGATGAGCAGCATGGTGAGCATCATGCGCAAGCGATATGGCTCATTCCCTAGGTGAATGCCTCCCATGTTAGTTTCTGCACAACATGTCAAGTTGCTGTTCAAGGCAGAGGAGCAGACAAGGCTGTTTTTGAGGGTCAGCAATCATACTTAAAGCAAAATAGGGAGTCCCGACTGAGAACACGTTCATTGTCTGATCTCCACCCCACACAGACCTCAACTCCCCCACATTGGCCCTTGCCATCTATAAACCTGTGCAACAGAGCAGAGCAAACACCTCCAGATGACCAGGACTACAGAAATGTATTATCTGTGGTCACCAGGGTGAATGTCCCTCCCTCCCCGCTAGACAGGGTGAGCCCCCAGTCCTTCTCCTGAGCTGGGAACTGGAAAAGGGGGGCAGGGGCCAATCTCTGCCATGATGCTACACTTTGGGGGGCTCTCCTGGCACCTTCAAACCACAATATGACAGAGACAAGTCACTGTTGTTCATCTGAGACTGAAGGGGATGGGGTCCAAGGGCCTTCACAGCTCAGTGTGGGGTCAGAAAAAAGGTTGACTGAGCCCTACGAGGAAAGGTTAAAGGCCTTGGGAATGTTTAGTTTGGAGAAGAGGAGACTGAGAGGGGACATGACTGCTCTCTTTTATTTGAAAGGCTGTCATTTGGAGGAGGGCAAGGAGCTGTTCCAGTTGGCAGCAGAGGATAGGACCCGAAGCAACGGGTTTAAACTACATGCAGAAAGGTATCAGCTGGAAATCAGGAAACTCTTTTTCACAGTCAGAGTGGTTCAAAGGTGGAATCAGCTGCCTAGGGAGGTGGTGAGCTCCCCTTCACTGACAGCTTTCAAGAAGAGGCTGGACGAATATTTGTCAGAGATGCTTTAGGCTGGTCCTGCATTGGGCAGGGGGTTGGACTAGATGGTCTGTATGGCCCCTTCCAACTCTATGATTCTATGAATAGTCTATAAAATACTAAAATGAACAGACATCCCCAGGAACACAGCAATGGCCCTCTAATCTCACCTGCTAACCACAGACTCCACTTTCTCCACTGGATGAGGAAATTCCTGTTCCACTACGAAGAGAGATGTGTCTCTCCTTATCCTAGACAAAATAAAGTAGGGGGTATTATATATACCAAAATTATTTTGATCTGCCCTGTATACAGTGCTCCACAGAAGCAATAAATATGCATCTGATCTAAGTATCATCTGTAGGTTATACCCTGAGCACCATTTCTCAGGGTTCGCTCTGAAAGTTTTTATGTGTGTTCCTTGTGAGAGTTCCCCGTGTAAGCCGTGACAAGCTACCTTTTGTACATAAAAGACAGGGCAAAGTTCTTAAAACTTGGGTAAACATACACATACATATCAGTTTACTTTGCAAGATCATCCAAATCATTTCCAGATAGGAAGTCAGAGAGTTCACTGAGAGCTGCCAGATGCCAATGTGGAAATGGACACTAAACTATTACGTTTTTGAGGAAGTGGAACGTTCAACAGTCATGGATTCATCTCCTCCTCCTCCTGTCCCTGTATCCTTTTGTTTCATACTGCAGTAACAGGAGCCGTAACATGGATGGCCCAGCCTAGCCCATTCTTGTCAGACTTTGGAAGTTAAGCAGGGTCAGCCCTGGCCTGGTTAGTACTTGGATGGGAGACCACCAAAGAAGTCTGTGGTTGGTATGCAGAGGCGACCGATAACAAACAGAGATTGTTTGCTTCTTGCCTCCAAAACCCTACAGGGTTGCCATAGGTTGGGTGCCAGTTTCCACCACAGCAACCACAAGACTTGTTACACAGCAGGCAAGGGAGGAGGAAGAGAACAGGAGAAGAGGAAAAAAATAGGGAGGGGATGCCAGGCGAGTTAGTCCCCTTGCTTCATTCTGGAATGTAAAGGTATGCTGTTGATTCTCCGGGATACGATATGTGAACTGTAGAGATTTCTCACCCTTAAGAAAACAATGATCCTACAAATGCATGCTACGAAAAGCCAGTGTGTGAGACTTTTTAACTGGACTGCAGCTTCTACTTTAATGCCTCTATGGAGGATCCTTCCATTTGTCCAATAATTATAAGGGAAGGAACTGTAGCGATAGTTGCATCTAGAGATTGATCTGAGGGCCCATGTGGAATACACTCTTGAACAAAAACAGAAAAGATTCGGATAGCATTGCTTCTGGACCCTCACTCCCAACTCTAGAGTACTGCACTTGAAAGTAACAGCAAAAAGACATCAGACTCTGAAGTTCTATTTACGTGACTTCTGTAATGTTCCCCTGGACTTCGGCCGCCAACTTCAGAAGGCCAACAAGACTCTCATTCTTCACCCACCGCTCTTCTATGCTGTGATGAAAGCGTAAACAGTCTTTGTTTGACTTTAGAACAATTTTTCCCACACATGAGGCTTCAATCGTATTTTTTCTCTCATGAAACCACACTCTGATGTTAATGTAAAACCAACATCTGCTGCGATGGATGCTCAACTTCCCTTTCAAGTTCTGCCCGGCCTTAGCAACCAGCAGCCAAGACAGACTCACTCATGTTAACGCTGTTTTCTTTTTTCAGTGCATACAGCATTCAGTACCCAACTTGCTAACCACAAATGCCTTTGAAACGAAAGCTGTGTTTCATTTTCAGGCAGACTGCAGGTATATGTATAAAATCCATTTACCACGGACTGGGTCCAGCCAATGACTTTCATGAGGCTACATCCATGCAAAAGGCATTCACAACTCAAACAACTGAAAAGGCTTTATGAAATGTATTTAATTCCTCCTAAATACATTTTAGCTACCCTGGCTGTCACCTAAGGTTAAAAAGATTCTGTGACAGAAAAAACAACAGGATTCTGTAATGCATAAATTGTGCGAATCAAATACATGTGTATAATAAACACAAATACAGGTTTTTTTTCCTGCAGTATTTTTATTGTGCCTCTTTTATTCTGGTTTTGCTAGTCATGGGGAACAAGGGCAAGGCTGTGGAAGAAGCCCCACTCCCAACCAAGGAAAATCCTATACAGCTTCTGAGATATCAGCAGAGAAGAGACCTCACGAGGTCCCCTACGTAACTAGATGTGAACTAGGTGCAAAGGAACACACAGTATGATGTTCCCACACCACATTTAAGTGAAACCACACATTTCCAACATTGGCATCTCTTATGTGCTTATTTAAGTGAAACCACACACTGCAATAAGAGAGGCAGAATGCAACACAGGGCTGCCCTTCTCAGTTGCAGCCTCACATCTGCTGTGATGTGTCGCTCACCTAAGGTTGCCACAAACTTAGAGGAAAAAATGTCCTGCCCTTTCAATAAAGGTTTAATGGGATGTTATTTTCCAGGTGATTTCATTGAACTCTGTGTCATGAGAATCTTCATCAACCCGTTTCCAAACACTAAGCTTCTGTTAAATGGGCAAGATTTTTTTCCTCCAGGTTGTTGGCCATCCTCCACTTACCTGTCAGCCAACACTGGAACCCAAGACAATACACCCCTGTCTGGCTGACCACTCTGTCTCTTGGGGACTGTTCCATACGATCAAAACAATTCCCAAACTTCCTAGTATGCTACACACAGTGCTTTCTATGGGCCTGGGATGTGGTCTCCTACCGTCCAAATTCTCCCTCTATGTATCTACTAAATAAACCATGTGACATGATATCATCACTTTCAGAATTTCCCTGAGCCAGTTCATTGGCTGCTACATGTGATGCAATCATGTCATATCATCCACTTTTACTAGATTCAAATTTATTAAGAACAGTCATAAGACCAGCAAAATAAACCAAAATAGTACAACACCGAGTCTACGACATAAAATTCTTGTAGCCTTAAATACTAAAATATGAAACCGGTCAATTCCGTCATTAATGGCTTGAGTTACAGTACATTCTCCGCTTTTTAATTACCAGATAACAATATTTAGCAACATTGCGTGAGACAGAATCATAAGTATTGGCCAATAAGAACTTCATCAAACATTCCTCAGCATATGTAAGATAATTAGCCAAGGGTTTAAAACGTGAGAGAAGGGGTATCAACAACTGCTGTCTCTCTTCATCATACATAGGACAATGGAGTAATATATGGGAGGCCGACTCCACCTGTTCTAACAAACAGGAGCAAATTCTCATCATTGGCTGCTACATGTGATGCAATCATTTCATATCATCCACTTTTACTAGAAGTTGCTGGAGAGATGCATAAAGGAGGGTTGGCCAGCCCAGCTGCCAGACATCTGCAGTAACTTCAAGTTTTGCAAAGTACTCTGTTCACCCTTCGATGATGCAAACTGAACTGGATAAGAGAACAGACAGAATTCTTACCCCATCCTTAGCACACCCGTAAGTTTCCTCGGGGCCTTAAACAGAGTCTCTGCATCACTCAGTGTCAGGCCATTATTAATTGACCTAGGAAGGAGGAGGAGAAAGGATCTTTTTCAGATGCTCCTTAAGTGGTCGAGCAGAACTTCATGTCAGGCAAAGCCAGCCACTATCCGACTCACATGAAATTGGTCAGGGAGAGGCACTTTCCTAGCATGGCTGCCAGCTGTTCTCCTTGGACGCTGCATTGCTTTAGCCTGAAAAAATGGAGAAAATAAGCTGGAGGGTGGATCTTTCTAGGTAGGTGAAGCAGCTGTAAGGAATAGCTGATCATCATCCATCTTTGCAAGGTTCCCTTTGCACGTGCTGTCCATGCACTGCTGCAAACAGCAGCTATGAGGTAAGGACTGAGATTTACCCAGGATCTACCAAACCACACAGCCATGGGATCTGTGGCTGGATGAACTGACATTTGTTTAAATGTTAAAAAACCAATCCTTGTCCCCCGGGCCATTAGCAACCAAGGCAGAGACGTCTACTGGGAAAATAGTGCAAAGAAAAGGAGTTCACACAAACCACCATGGCATCAATCAATGTCCAGAGATCAACTCACAGGCTTCCCATGATTCATCGCTTGAGCCTCAATCTCTCTCCCTAGGCCATGGCTCAGAGGCAGATCATCTGTTTTGTGTGCACAAAATCTTAGGTTCAATCTCCAGCATCTCCAGCTAAAAGGAGCAGGTAGTAGAAGGCTAGCACTCCTAGCATTCTTTCCATGTCACCATTTAAAGGTTTTGCCTTAGTGCCCACATTTCCCACTGTCTTCAATTAGTTACCATAGGGATGGCTTACTGCATTTGTGCCCTTCCCAGGATCTAGCATTCTATTGACAAACTACCTTCCCTCCCCTGGCACTCTTTTAGTAATGTGTTCAAGTGGGGCTTATCATGATTATGGAGAACAGACTTCCAATGTTCAAAGTAGTAAGAAATTTATTACAAAAGAAAACTTCCACACACACAATCCGTGCAGCAATGGATTAAGCAAGACAACAAAGTAAAGGTGCATATATGTGATTCTCTGTTCCTTCACTGTACATATGCTGACTATTGTCCTTATAGGGTAGGTAATTTACATTTAAAGTTACAGCATTCCCTTGAGTCTTTGTTTGGGCTACCTGCCTATTGTTAGCTCCATGAGATTCGAGAGGGAATCAGCCAAAGTGGACTACCAACAAGGGTCCTCCCCGGAATGTTTCTTGTTTCCCTTGTGTCCCAGGAATTATCTCCTCTCTTTGCCCACCCCCCATGGGTCAGACCTTCCATTCTCATTACCCCCAGGAAGAGATACAATCTAGCATTTGTCCTTCTCATTTCTCTATCCCCTCCTAGATGTCACATTCCTGCCAGGGTGTGAGATGGCCCCTTGACTGTTCTCTGCTGGCTAACAGCATTTGCATAACCAAACCCTAAGACCTGGGTACCTGTGAGAGCCATCCAGTGGTGAGGCTTGAAAGCAATTAACCTCTCTCCTGTTTCCTGTCCTTTTTACTGACATGGACCATAACTTTACGTTCCACTGGAAGAAGGCACCACCAGAGCAGTGGTTCATGCAGAGAAGTACCAGGCAGCCTCCTACTATGGATGGATGCTTTGTACACATAGAAGTCTTTCATTATTATAATTAAAGTATCTCTCATTGCAAACTAAGTTCCACTGGACTCAAACTTTGTTCTGCAAACTAGCAGTTCAATCATGGCATACTTTTGCACCATGGAGTAATACTTTACCTCAGGGTCTTTTGAGGATTATTTTCTCTCACTAGGGTGATCGTCAATGTTTCCTCAGAGCACAAACTAGAATAAAAGAACAGGCAGATTTAGAAGAAATAACCATGTATGCGAAAAGGCAATTTAGTCTGTGAAAGGCTATGTTTCTGGAATGAATATCTGTCACATTCTTCTCCTGTGACTTCCTTCGGCCATCTCTGACTCACACATCTAATTCTCTCCATCTCAGCTTTTATCCCTGTGCAGCAGGGGTTCAGCTGAGAGAGTGTGAATACAAGTGAGCTTCACGGCTGAGTGGGGATTTGAACAAGTGTTCAGTATCCTCAGTATCCTCTGTCCTGGACCAACACATTAACCACTGCACCATACAGGCTTTCAACACATTTCTTTTGAGGGCTTATCTGCTTATTACAAAGTCCTTGTATTCCACTGCACCATACAGGCTCTCAACACATTTCTTTAGCAATTGAGGGTTTATCTGCTTATTACAAAGTCCTTGTATTCATCGGGAAAACAAGACCAGGACTCTGCATCAGATGTAGGATAGGAGTTTTCTGCCTCAGAGGCCCCTTCTACACTATCCTTTTAATACATGTTCACTGCGGTGTCCTCCAAGCAATTCTGCACCAAAATCAAATTTATTCTTCTTTTTAATCCAGTTTTCCCCCCATTCTGCACTACAATCAAGTTCAACCTTCTTTGTATTCCGGGTTTTCCCCCCATTCTGCATTACATTACCTCCCTTCAGTGGTCAGCCCAGTTTCAGTGTCCTGGGTCAGAGCAGACACAGCCAAGACGTAGGGGACAAGACAGAATCACTAACCAGAAGCGCAGTCGAGAGTTCAGTCCAAGAGTCATACATAAGGGAAGCCAGCCGAGGGTCCAAAAAGCAGAGTCTGAGCAGGTCCAAGAGGCATAGTCAAGCAGGTCCAGGGTCAAAGCCAAGGGTTCAGGAGTTGCAGACAGGAACAGGTCCGGATGGTGTGGTCGGGCGTCTCCAGGAACGTGACAAGTTGTTCCCACACCTCCCCCAACTGAAGCCCTGTCTTTTATTGACGGCTCACAGCTGGATCTCATAGCTTGTGAGAGAGCCATCCATTTGGCTCATTAACCCCAGGTGTTCCTCTTGATTTGGTAGTCACCAGGCAGCGAGGTGCCTCTTGAGGAGCTCCAAGCGCACCTGCCTCCTCCTGCATTCCTCTGGCTCCGGGGAAAGGGGAGGTGAGGCAGTCTGTGAAGTTTCCCCAACATCTTGGGTTGTTGAGGCACCGCCTCTCGGGGTTGCCTCTTCCGTGTTCGCAGTGCTCATGGGGCTGGAGTACATGCTGTCCTCAGCAACTGGGACACTAGGACCTGCCTCCACCGTCTCAGGGTCATTGACAGCATCAGCTGGTTGAGCCTCAGAGGTGCTGACGGGGATGTTATCAACATCAGCTGAGTGATCCTCAGCTAAAGCAGGCTGGCCCACGACATTCAGCCTGCTGTTGCCCGGGGTTATTTGGATGCTATTTTGCCATTGACTTCAATTGCCTCAACTCGGACACAGAGAAAATCCAGAGTGGCAGGCAAATGCAGAAAGGACCCCACACACATACTGGTTCTTTTTCTGTTTGGGACCAAAGCAGACAGGAAGAAGCAGATTTAGCTTCTCCCCCCCTCCCCACCACCACTGTTTTCCCATCTGCAAGCTACCCTCCCTTGTTAAAATCACATTACAAATGGAGCCATTAGCCATGCCACTGGGCAGTCTGCAAATACAAAAACAGCAGGGGGGGGGGAGAGGCTGAAGCTGCTTCTTTCTGCCTGCTTTGGTCACAAGAAGAAAAGAGCCGATGTGTGTGGGGGAGGCACAAAACTCCCACCACCTATCTGATGCAAAGTTCTTGTGTCGCTCCTTAACAAACATAAGAACTTCATCATTGATAGATGGACACTAATACTAGTCGATTTTAGGTGTTATTTTGGGACCGTGCATGCTGGGTCCTCACATTCCCCATGATTCCCCCAACACGCAGGGTCATTGTTTCACCTGATTGGGCACCATGCACATTTTCAACCTTTAGTGCATGATTTCATGTGGTATGTGCTGAAGCTGAAAATTTGAATCATGTCTTATTCAGACAAAACGGAGATGTCGCATGTCAGGAGGATTACAGGAAGCGTATGCCTCTGATACAGACAACTGGATACTCCCAAAACTTTACATGTGAAATAGGCTAAAGTATTCAGAATAACCCAGACAAGGCCACGGGCTATACTACAATGAACCATTCCAAGACATCTGTTCTAGTTCTGTATTACAGGGTCCCCACCTGAGCCTCCATCTTTCCACTTGGAAGTTTCAGCTTCCAAAGAAACTGTGCTTTCAGAAATACCAGTGCTTTGGTGATTCTGAAATATGAAAATGGGAACATTTTGTTTCCTCAAAGTGTGCAATTTGGGTATTTCAGCATCTTCTTCAACAATCTTGCTCACTCTCCTGTTGCTAGGATCATGTAATTGCTCTATGGCTTACACCTCTTTGGTGGTTCCCCACTGCTTTCCACAACCGTAGGGGGTTTTCACACAAGGGCTTAAATTGCCCTCGAACTTCTCTCAAGCTATTTATGATAACACTGATAATGATCAGTGTTCATGCAGAAGATGAGAGAGATTTGAAATGTAAATGTGTATTCTGGCCAGCATGGGTTTTTAAATTCACATTACAAAGTTCAGGAGCTGCTTTAAGACTCATATGAACCAAAATGCACTGTTTCTGATTTAATCTGATAGCCAAAAGGGTTCAGTAAGCAATCCTCAAAATATATACAAATAAAAAACAAAGCTAAAAATAAATTTTAATCAACCATTAATTAAAATAAAATAATGACCAGTAGACCACGCACATCATAAAAAATTGCTCTAATATACATAAAAACCTTTTAACAATATGGCAGATAAAACAATTTATACAGAGCAATCACCAAGTGATATGAGTTCAGTTGGTAAAAGAATGTAACAAAACAACAAAACACCAAACACGTTTTGGCTACTGCCTTCCTCAGTAGTGTAATAAGTATTTTCAAGCTAAAAGCTTCTGATGAATACAAAAGCCATCAGACAGTTACAGTATAGCAGTGTATCCAGAAATATCTCACATATCAGAAAACTTCCTCATGTTTAGTCACAGTGCTCCCGCTAAAGTGCACTAGCATATGCTGGCGCACAAATTTTCAGGCCCTAGTGCACAGGTTTTTTTGCTCAGCACAGGGCAACGAAATTCACCTTTCCCGTCTCTCCCTGGCTTCCTGGTCTTGTCCATCAAACTCCTCCCTATCACACCCTGTCTGGGGCAATTGCAGAGTTCTGCCCTCCTTGGGCAGCTTTCTCCTGTGCGGCTTTACACAAAAGCTTGGTCTCATGGACCTGGTCGGAGAGAGCCTTTTTG